AAAATATTCTTTACAAAAAAATTTTTTAAAATCATAAAGATGCATTTTTTTTTCAAAGATATCATCTGGACATAGTTTAAGATTATTTGAAAAAACAAAAAATTGAATAATAATTTATGTTAAAATTTAAAAAAAAATCAATTTCACACCTCGCAGCCTCTCCAGAGCGAGAACAATGGGACAAAAATTTTCAGAAATGTCAGCACTTGTCTAAGTTTTTCAGCAGGGACAGTAAAGGGGTCAGAATTGTCTAAGTTTTTCAGCACCGCTTAATTGTCAGTATTTTTCTAAGTTTATCAGTACCGGCAGAAAAAAGGTCAGAATTGTCTAAGTTTTAAGTAACGACAGATATGCATATACTGAAATGAAAAAGAAACGCAGGGTAACCTTTTTGAGGTGAATTTAATTTCTTTTTTTTTCAGTATTTCTATCTTACTTTTAAAAAATCTTTAAAGAAAATGTAACCAAAATCCCATTTGATTTTCTCTGATAATTTATGAGTTATTGAAACTTATATTCCTTTGCATTGAATTCATCAGAGTCTTTATCTTTCAATCCATGGGTATATTGGGCATAGGCAACTACGCCGAAAAATAAGTCAAGTGTTGTGCGCATGCGCCAGTGAGAGGAACACAGCATAAAGTTTACCGACTCCAAAGTCAAAATTGCGCAATTGGTTTCTTTCAGTTTTGGGTTGAATAAAATGATTATGATAGTCCTTTGTAAAAAACGCGGTTTTTGTGGCACTGCATGAAAAATCGGGTTTATTTTTACCTTAAATGCAATTTAAATGCTGCGATTATTAAATGTTTAAATGCACAGTATAACATATTGTGGGATCGTAAACGTTAGAAAATAATAAGCATTTAATACGAGTTTAATGGAAAATTAAAAGAACAAATTAAATAAAGTTTTGAAAATTGTAAACTTACTAATACGCTCGGATTTAAGTCTCCCGTAAACAAATATTATACCTTGAGTATACAAAACGTATAATTATTATTAAACATGCCCATAAAATAAACGTTTTATGGTTATATTAAATTTGATCGTTTAATAAAATTTAACGTAGAACTTTACCTCATTATTTTTGTTTAATTCACACTTTACTTTATAATACTTCCAAAAATTAAGTTATATACGGAGAATTGTAAACTTACTAATACGTTCAAATTTTTATCTTTCATAAACTAATATTAAATCGCTTGTATATGTGATGAAATATATAGATTAAACCTTCCCATATCATTAAGATTTATGGTTGTATTAGATGAAATTTAATATAATTATATCATTGCATATTAATTTTTTTTATTTAATACTTATTCCATCATTATTTCGTATGGATTATAATTTTGTTTTTCGCAAGTATTTTACAATATACAAATCCACTTCTCGTTCAATTTTATTTTATGTTATTTGTGTACAAACAATGAGTTCTAACAAAGTATAAGATATTTCATAATTAATGCCTAAATGTCAGCATTTAAAAATTAACAAGATCAAGAATGTAGCTCAATTATAATGGAGTAAATTTTTGCATAATAGTAGTAGGTGCTAAATAATACTTAAGTAAGTGAAATAATTTTGTATTTTACAAAACACATAATATGGAATTAAAATTTTATTAATTTAAGATACCCTGACAACAATGGGTCATCATGTCCAAACAAATCAATAACAAAATAATTATAAAAATAGAATTGTATGTAAAATTTAAATCTGCAATAAATCAGAACACAACAGGTAAAAAAATGCAGTCATTCTTGACTCCAAAAGACTGCAAAACCTGTGACTGAAACTATCCCTATTGAAACTGCTGCATGGGTTGTAAATGGTTTTTCCATTTCCCACAAAAAATCATATCATACTTTGCACAGAAGAATAAAAGTTGGCAATAAAAAATGCCCATTCTTTTTATATGTACATCTATTAAGACACACTAAGCCACTGACAGAGAAGCCTCACTCGCCAACAAGCAAGAGCAAAAGGATCGGTCAGAGACACCACCTTTCTCTTACTTGGGTATCAAGATCTGCAACTTACTGCCAGCAAAGCTCTTTCAGACTACCCTTATATTGTTTCCCAAGTATTTCCACAATAGATGTCCATGCACTAATTATCAAATTGTAAAAACATGGCAATAAATCAGAGATTAAAAGTGTATGTACATGTGTGCGACACAATAAGCCAGTCGATCTGGTATCAATAAAAATATGACAGCTTTTAAATCTTTAACTGAGTACAGTAAATAAAAAATCTTTTATATCATTTGGTTATGTCAATTCAAATTAAAGAAAAGCATCATAATTACACAAAATAGTAACAGCTGATAATTTGTCTCTAATACCCCATATTCGTTCCAACTGCTAGGTTTATTGCTTGATGATTATAACTTTAACATATCCTCATTTTACACTGGAATGCAAGACATTTTGATAGTGATATTTTTTTCAGTCATTAATCTTCTACACTTTGCCTCAAAATTTCAAGAATGAGCCGACGTCTCCATATGAGTGAAAAATTCTCGAGAGGGACGTTAAACAATATACAATCAATCAATCAATCAATCAATCATGAATGAGCTCGGAAACATGTACATATAAAATTTCCAGTATAAACATATGTACAAGTATATTTAACAATTTTTTTAGCCTTAATTACAATTTAATCTTAATGCAAAAAATTCATGTCATAAACTCTTTTACTTCATATGGAAGAAAACAAATTAATATTTTACTCTTTCAATTCTCATTACTCTTGCAATACAATATTTTTTAAAATCACGATTCACCCTTTTTTACTCAGAAATGTCTCTACCTCATCTGCTTAATCTACTTTTTACATCTATGACACACTAAGCCACTGACAGAGAAGCCTCACTCGCCCACAAGCAAGAACAAAAGGATCGGTCAGAGACACCACCTTTCTCTTACTTGGGTATCAAGATCTGCCACTTACTGCCAGCAAAGCTCTTTAAGACTACCCTTGATTGTCTTTTTTTTTCCACAATAAATGTCCATGCACTTATTATTTAAGTCAAACTTGTACATATATGTATTTCATAAATAAAGATTATAATGTATGTGATTGCATACTACACGATAAACCAATCAATGTTTAAACAATAAAAAATATAACAGTTTTAATCTGTAATGAAGTATCAGAAAAAAACTTTAACTGTCAAAAATACAACACTAGGTATATTTTTCTTATCTAACATTGAATGTGTCAATTAAAGTTAAGTAAAAAAACATCACATTTGTGCAAAACAGTAATAACTTAGATATTTGATCTCTAATAGCCCATTTCTGTTCAATCTCTACATCATTAGGTTTGACTCTTTTAGATTCTTTATTTGTCCTAGTTCTTCTTATGCTCTGCCTTTCAGAGTGTTTTGATTTGAGAGTGGCACTTTTGGTGTCCTGTTCTTTAAGGATTTTTTCACATTCATCAGAACGCCACTTCAGCTTTCTAATTTCATAGATAGTATCATCTTTCGAATCATTTTTTGTACTATGAAGATGTAATCAATATTTAAAACTGCTTCTTCTTGCTTTTTCTTCTCTTCATTCCAAGAAATTTTCAGCTCTGGAGAAGCACACGTAGCTCCTAATTTCTACAACAAATATACAAATAAATACCCATTTGCCTATATATACATATTTTATGTGTGCTTCCGGATTTATGCATATATTATCTAGTACACAAATTCTAGGTTGATTGTAAACATATCAATTGACCTAGAGGAAACATAGCTCAATTTTGATTAATTATTGACAACTGAAATATTTTTGAACCTATCTAGATTTTAAAAGAAAGTGTATATGGCGGTCTATTTAATATTACATGTATGGGGTGATGTGTTTACATTTGTGTGTGATTACATTGATTGCAATGTAGTTCTAAAAAGAAAAAATTGTACGACACAGAAAAGGGTTTGTGAGTTTTGTTCCATATAATATTTCTTTAGTCTAGGTGGTTCTCTTAACATCAGAACTTTGAATTTACAGAAGACCATAAAAGATACGCCATTTTTTCAAGTCTGGGTAATAAAATATTTATCTATAATTTCAGACCAGCGAGCTACAAATTTTGAAGCTAGTGTTGATGTTCATGTAAATTAGAGACTAATGACTTTTTCCCCATCTTTTTTTGGAGCATTTTACCACTATGTTTACCTGCTTGACCTTGAACATGTTGAGGTGCCCTTTTCTCTGTTCCTCCACAATAATTCTTTCATTTAGCAGCAAGATACTATGGATATGGTAAAAAGCTGTAAGAAACAAAAGATGAAAAATTAATAACAGGTATGGCTCTCCATAGAAAGAATACACAAAAAGGAGAAAAGATATACAAACAGGGTGTACTTATGACTAAAGCAAGTAGATAACATTTTACACAATGATAAAATTCTCTGTGTCATCTAGTTAAGAGAATTACATAAAAAAAAATATAATTATATGTATAGATCAAATTTATAGACTACAAAATATGATACGAAATATACATAATGGTACTGTACTCCGAGCACATGGAAATCAAAGATTTACAAAATTTACGAAAATGCAAATAATAGCATTTACAGCATTTAACATATTAAGAGACATACGTATCTATAGTTTCAGACCAGCAAGCTACAGATTTTGTGGATGTACATGTAAATTGGGGACTAGTAACTTTTTGTCATCTTTTTTGAGCATTTTACCACTGTGTTTACCTGCTTGACCTTGAACATGTTGAGGTGCCCTTTTCTCCGTGTTCCTCCACAGTATTTTATTTCATTTAGCAGAAAGATACTATGGATAAAAAAATAAAAAATCAATAACAGGTATGGCATTTCATAGAAAAAATATACAAACAGATGTATTTATGATTAGAGCAGGTAGATAACATTCATACAATAATAAAATCCTTAAACTTTTGTGATCTAGTTCAGCGATTTATTTCAAAAACATATGATAATATGTATAAGATCAAATTTAGAGACGAAAAAACATGATACGAAACGGATGTACATAATGGCGCACCATACTCGGAACACGTAGAATTTAAGAGTTTATGAAAATGCAAAGGTTAGCATCTACAGCATTTAACATGCAAGTTATTGGGATAATGAGCAAGTGATTTAACATAAAATAAAATATATTAACAACTTACATTGTAGATAGCAGGGGTTTAAAGTGGACAGGAAATTCAAAGTTCCAGTAAATGGTGGCAATCTCATACACAATAAGTCATACAGCAAATGATTAGTTCGTATCTCAAACTGGGTAGCCAAATATCTGGTCATGTCACTTTAAGAAGGAAGGCTCAGCAAGTTCGATGTCGTCAGATCATTCCCATAGATACTTCAAACTTTTCTGGCACAATTTCTGAAAGAAAAGTTGTATCTTGAAGGTTTTTTTTTCAAATTAGGATTAATTCTGATGAATGTAAAGATTTGAAAAGTTTACAGATGACAGACGAATACCAGACACTGATCAGAAAACTTGCTTGGGTCTTAAAATAGCTCAGGTGAGCTAAAAAAAATTCCATTCATGTGATTTTATTGATCTTATCAGAAAATTTAAGAAATCTTACCTTTGTGTTAATTTTCATACTGGTTTGTCCTTCTTGTGAGTATTCGGATTCCTGTAACTAATGCATGTATAATTGTGCATCATAGAATACGATAGCTATTTTTAATGATTTATGGTTAAGTATTTAATGTAAAATATTTATGCATAGCTCTGTGCAATTCATAGTATGTTTAGATTACCTATCAGAATCCATTGCTATTGTATTTTTAGGATAAGGAAATTAAGAATGTAAACCTCGTCTTGTTTACTTGGTAAATAGTACATGTAGTTCAAGTTGTTGCAATATTTTTTTTATAGTCTTATGCTAAAATATACAAGTTACTAAAAAACAATGCTAGGTTATATGTGTTATATGAAAATTTAAGCTGCATGGTTCTCACCATTTTCACAAGCTGACTATAAACGCCGGCGCTGTGGGAAATCGTCTCAGGCACAGTCCACTGCAACTATTAAATAATCAGAATAAGTGCTGAATATGATCTTGAACATGCATTAAAAAGTAAATATATTTTTTTTTTTACAGAGATTGAGTCATTGACGCATTGTGTGTTTCTCGCTTCTCCACTGCACTAAAATTTTAGGTGACAATGGGAAAGAAAAAAAGAAAAGACCTGAGAGTATCTTGTAAAGTGACACTTTATATGCAGTCCGAACAGGGAAGAAAAGTCACGGTGCATTTGACCATGTTCAATGATCATGTTGACAGTTTGATTGTTGATAGTATTTTCATCAGGTAATTATTTAACTATTCATTTTACTGAAAGTTATGAATGATCTACTGACTACGGATTTGAAAACGACGAATGAATAGTACGAGGATGTCAGGATGTGACTAATATCCCAACACTGCCAAAAAAGAAATGCAGTCATTAAAGAAATTATTTAAAATAAAATACTTATTTTTTTAGGCCTAAATATTTGTAACATTGGAACATGCATTCAACTGTTCAAGTTACTTTCTGTAACTGAAGTTTGATTTTTATTAATATCTCATTTTCTAATTAATTAAAAAAGAGATACAGATTGTGCTGCTGCATGACAAGAATATTCTTTATCAAGCATTTGCATTTAACTAATTCAATCTGTAAATTTTACAATAGTTCCATATTGATTCTTCATTGATTATATTGGAAATTTATTCATTTCATTGAGTGTTCTCCATCCTTAAATTTTATTGCAAAAATGAACACATATGATTTCAGATGATGAGTCATTAATTGGAATATAGATAAGAACCAAAAAAAGTACTTCAGTGTTTCCTTAAAATATCTGTGCCATCAATCAAAGTAGAGGTCATCCTATATCAGCTGAAGAAAAGAAAGTTGGATGGATCAAGCTAAGGTGTTGAACTAGATCAATCTGATTAAAATAAGATGTTAGATCCGCTCGCATACTCGCTACATCAACATCTAACAACATCCCATACAGGGTCACGTCAGAGGTCAAATTCGGAACAACTCTAGACTTGTTCGCTTCAACAATATACAATAATTTTGCAGGCGACAATTTGATTGGTTGATAGAGTTTGACCTCTGACGTGACCCTCTATGGGATGTTGTTAGATGTTAGTGTAGCGAGTATGCGAGCGGATCTAACATCTAATTTTAATTAGATTGCAACCAGACATGACAAAATCAATGGAGATTTGGAGAAGACTTCTGACTTGTTATACACAATGCATATTTTTATCTGTCTATAGATTATAGAAGAAAATTTAATGTTTTTACAACATCCTATCTAGTATATATGTGCTGTTTTCCACATATTTAGAAAAAATGAGTCTGTGATGATTGCAATGCATGCTTTGTTTGTCCATCTTTGAACTTGTTTTCAGTAAAATGAATGTATACATCATAGGTATTGATTGAAGGTTGCTTTTGTCTATATATACTTAACAAGTTTTTAAAAAGGGTTTGTAAAATTGCAAGGAAATTAATATACGAAATTTTGTTCTCATATAAGTATTTTTGAAAACTGATGAGTTTTGTACATAAAGTTGCAGTGTACATGTATAATTATATCTACTGTAACAGTTTAAAACATGAAACTTGGAAGTTGTAAGGTTTTTCATTAGTGGGAATGATAAGACCAGTTTAGTACTCTACTAAAATTAAAATCTTTCATAAATACATGTACGTAGTTCTATTTTAAAATTGTTTACATTTATAATCTTTTAATTTTCTTCTGTATTTTGATTTTAAAAAGTAGAAAATTTTGTTTTATTTAAATTATTATTTCTTGGATATCCAGGAGATATATCTGTCACTGTAGCATTCTTTCTTTTTCCCTGTTCTGTTCTTGACAAATATTTATGACAGTGTTATGTCATTTTGCAGAATTAGCCTTTTCTCTGAAAACAGTAGTACACTGTAAATTCATTAAAGTATGAACTGATGTCACTTAGAATTCATCTTTATGTTGTTCTTTCAGACATTTCAATTTAGATTCTCAGATTACCTAATCCAATGATTGATCTAATGTCCATGAAGTGTAGAAATAGGTTAGGCCATCTTTAAAAAAATGTTTGGTTGCCGGCCTCTCCCGACCGACTGACTAAAATGGCCAGGCTCAAAACTTTTTTGTTTAATGCAGGACCGTAGTTTTTTTCTTTTCATTCCTCTTATCTCCTTAAAAAAATATGTTGTTGAAGATTTTCTCACCTACCGACCCAATAATTTTACTCTGAGTCAAGAGAGGGCAAACAAACATTACATTAAAGATAGCATTTCTACTTTTCAAAGGAAAGAAATCATTTAATTATAAAAACAGCAGCTTTGTGGACGCAATGCTTACAACATTTCACTCAAAAAATGGCAGACATGTATAATGACAAAGTCACCAGCCATAACTGAATACAGAAATTTTGCTACAAAGATGTCTAGAAGTTAATACATGTTGGAATGACTAAATCAGCATGAGGTCAAATTCATAGGCTTTTAATTGGTTTAGTTGCAACATGTTCTGAAGTATGTTTATATACATATACAAGTGTATTTCTAAAGGTGTTGCAGTATAATTCATGGACAATTTCATCAGAATATTCAGATGTAAAGATTGCCATAAATACTAGAGTTCTTCCATGGAATAAATTTTTAGACCATCATGTAGCAAAGAAGGAGTGTTATTTTAAATATTTTTGGCCAATTTATGCATTATCAAAAATAACATTTAGTCTGAAGAGTACACCATGACAACGTGATATCAATATTGTCTTTGAAAGTGTAGAAAAACCCTGATTTTTATGTTTCGAACCCATAATATAGCCCCTGTTTCCATGGAAATAATATTGGGGACATACATATTTTTTTAGTTCAATTTAATGAAATTGATCGAATTAATAACTTCATGGATTTTGATGAAATCGGTAGATATGTAAAATGCTGATTTATATATTTTTGTTGCCATGGCAACGGTTTCACTTTATCAAGGAAAATTGAAAAATCTGTTTTACCCATATTTTCACATTTTTGATAACGGAAAATTAAAATTTTAAATAATATAAGCATGAATTATACTAATTCAGGTCATTTTAATTATATAAGTTCGATAATTTATAAAGTAAATCAATTTTTTCAATGAGAATAATATTCAGGGTGAAATATGAAATACGTTAAATTTGGCGTCTTTTATTCAAAAAATGGGACAGGCAATATCTTTGAAAATCATATTAAATGATGGTGCTAATCTCCCTGAATAAATTGATATATAGCATGTTTGCAGATTTAAAAAAATATGAATTGGAGGGAGACGTAAACCTTACCTTAAAACGCCTAAATCTTTCTTATTTTAAATGCCTAAGCTCCGAAACAGAAAAATACAAGTTTTGAAATTCAAGTTCTATCAAAAAAGTTTGCATACGCTTTTTTGACTACAGAGATTTTCGAGATATAAGACATCAAACATTGCAGAAGGAGGGGGGGGGATTTTTTTCAAATGTCACAATAACGTTGCGAAAATTATTCTAAGCATAGAAATATGCTTGAACTAGTTAGAGCATATATTGTAAGTTTCATATCAACAAGAGCAGAACTTCCGGTATTATGGTCTTTGAAAATTGTCTATGGGAGTTTAATGTTAATTTGAAATGACGCATTTTACGTTTTCTCTTAAATTAATGAATATTTCCTTGTGAAAATTTAAGTTTACAATAACGTTGATACTGTTCCTACCTGAAAATACTCTGAAAATGAAAATCGGGAAAATAAGGGAATTTTAGGGGCCATCATTGAAAACAAACTTTTGTCTGTAACTTTTTTATTTTTCAATAAATTTTCAAACAGTTTTCAGATTTGAGTTAAGCACTAAAAGGGCAATTTAAAAAATTTGGTCCGTGGGGTCACTTGTTGACCCCTTTAGGAGTTTAAGAGGCCTGAAATAATGTATTTTTAAGTAATTTTAAAATCATTTTTAAAAAAATGTGTAAGAGTTATCTCCCTTTGTTTACCTGTTTGAAAGGGAATAAGCTCTATATGTTTCCATTTTGGTATGCATATGAAGAGTGCTTCCGGTTTTATGAGTCACTTAAAATTGCCTATGGGGATTTCTATGTTAAATCAGAAATCACACTTGTTCTTTTATCTCATTATGGAAGCAAGCAATTCATTTAATATTTCACATGGTAAATGATTGTAGCATTGTCTTTAGATGATAACGTTATGAAAACAAAGATCTCTCAAATAAAAGGGATTTTAGGGGTCAGTACAGAAAATACAGTTTTCCCTGTAACTTTTTTATTTGCTCAGATATCTTCAAACTTATTTCTGTTTTGAGTTAAGAATAAGAA